AGGCTGGCCTTGAGCTCACTTTGTAGTACAGGCTGGTCTTGAACTCAGAACAACCCTCCTGCCTCAGACTCCCGAGTGCTGGGGTTACACAAATCTAATACCACGCCAGGTTGTGACACCAGCTAAATATAGTAGATTAGACCTAGGTCTGAGCTCCAGCATACCATCCCCACACATACATACAGAAAATAGTCCCTGGGGCTGGGGAGATGGCTCAGCAGAATAAGCACGTCCCTTGCAAGCACAAGGGCCTGAGTTCAATCCCCGGTTCCGGGGGGTGGGGGGGTGGAGTCATTCAATAAGAAGAAAAAAAACTTATTACTGGTTATCTCTTCCTTAGCTTACAACAAATTAGTAGTATACTCACTTGTTTTACTTTCTCTTCAAAGTCAGCATCATTGTGGTCCGAAATCATCTGTGCAAGTCGAATCTGTTCCGCAGTGGCCTAGAAATCAGATCAAGACAGCATAATCAAGAAGCAACAGTTTTAAAAAGTCAAAGGAATGTGAATAGTCAATTCCTACCTTCCTCACCACTCTTGTTTCTTTCTCCTTGGTACAAATGACCAAGCAGAATAGAGCATGGGGGCATACACCTGTCATACTCAGAGGGGTAAGACAGGAGGATTTAAAGTATAAAGCTAACCTGGACAACTTATCAAGACCCCGTCTCAAAACAAAATAAAAAGACTGGGAATGTAGTTCAAAAACACAGTGCTTTCCTGGCATGTGCAAGAACCTGGAGTCAATCCTCAGTAATGCAAAATAACAACAAAAAAGATAAGAATTAAGTACTTTTTAAGATGCATAGATCAGTAAAATGACAAAAAGAGAATACAGCTATTAAGTATTTCACTATACAATCTCCAAAAAAGCAAGGAGCTTTTTCATCACTTGTCATAGCCTGAAGGGGCTTTTATCTTGAAACTACAGTACCACTTTGAAACATCTGCCCTTTTCTTGACATTAATGTGTTTGCAAAGTCATGTGTAAACCTGGTTCCTATTTCTTCAATAACCAATGCTAACCTCTTATTTTAAGTATCATAAGATTTAGCCCAAGATAGACTTAGAATATTTTCTTTCTGAGCAGATGTTAAAATACCAAGAATTTTATTGTCCCAAATGAGATTAAACACTAAAGTTCTACTAGAAATTCACTTAGAAATACAGGTGAAAGAAAAATGGCTAAGGGAAAAATCCTAGTCTTGCATATTCAACATCTCTGACCATGGTTAAATGTAAGTAATTCTTCCACACGAGGTACCAACCAACATAAGTCATAGAAAACTGTATCTGAATCAAACTTAATACTCAAGACGTTAATTTACTTCTTAAGCTCTCAAACTGAGCAATGCTCTAGAGTACCTCATTTGTTAATTCAGAAGAAATACAATGAAGATGCCAGTTTCTCACATAAAAAAATTCAGTTAAGGCCTCAATGAAAGCTGAAAGGAAAATAGGAGCACCCCCACCAGAATTTGGAAGAGGTGTCAAGGACAAAGGTTGCCTAGTGAAATATCAAGGTAGGAGAGCTAAAAAATAAGAAAGGCCTAAGAAATAACAGCTCAGATGACAAAAGGAAAATGTTTTGTTACAGACATAAAGCACTGGATGAAAAATGCAGCACTAAATCTCATAATATGGTTTTAAACAAAAAAAGTAAGCATGCTGTATCACAGCATGACACTGACATGTATCAGGCCATAAGTAAAAAGAGCCATGAACTACTTACTAACAAGAATAAGAAACCTAAATCAATGACCCAAAGTACAGAATGATATATACTGCATGGAGACCACAATAAACCAGTAAAACTACCCAGAGATCCATACCCTTTGGATTCTTTACCTGTGGTCGCTGCTTGTGCTGTGTCTGATTTTGGTTTTGAGGTTGTTCCCAGTTTCCCCGGGCTCGGTTAGTGCCCACCGATGTCATCATTTACAGTATATACAAATAACAGTATTTACAAGGTAGAATACTGAAAATTTAAGAGAAAAAAAAATTTAGGTGTTAAATGTGGGTGAAATGTTTTTAACTTTTCTTTCATTTGCATTTACCAACACTTCATTTCTTCAAAGGAACACACCAAGAAGATTCACCTATTCTTAAGATATGTCTTTTGATAAATTCCATAAGGAACTATGGCTGATAATCCATTTTTTTGTACAAGAAATGCACAATGCTGGGATGCAGCTCAGTGGCAACACTCATCTTTGCATACACAAAGCCCTGGACTAGGGCCAGGGAGATAGCTCAGTAGAATAAGTTCTTGCCTGGCAAGCACAAGGTCCTGAGTTCAATCCCTGGCACTGCAAAAAAAAAAAAAAAAAGCCCTGGACTAGATCCCCAGCATTACGAAACATAAAAATGTATGAAGCATATATAAATGATGGCCTTTTGTAAAAAGTCAAAGAAGCATAGATTGGTTACTAGTCCCTTTTAAACAGATTTTATAATACTTAGCTATCTTGATAATAAGCAAAACAATGTTAATAACCGAAAGCCTTCTATATAGCTGCAAGTATCTCAAGTACCTTTGACAAAAGGAAAGATAATCAACAAAGCCTGGAAACAAAAGCCTTCCGGGAAGGGGATTAATCTATACTCCAAAGAAATAACAATTTAAGATACAGTGGAGGTTAGGAATGTGCTCGTGGTAGAATGCTTACCTAGCAAGATTTTGATGCCCAGCATCACACACACACACACACACACACACACACACACACACCACAACATAATATTAAATCAACCTAAGAAAATATCTTTATCTGCCTTACAACTATTTTATAAAAAGTTGCACATGACCTCCACCACTTATGAAAGGACAAGACCAAGTCTAGCCTCTTTTCCCACTCAAGGTTCATCTTTGTATGCTACAGGTTATCTTAAATTATAGCCTTCTACATTGCATATAGCCCAAGTGACTGTCCAGAAACTCAATTCTTTAAGAGTAATTCCATGTGATGCTTTTATAGCTGTTCCTAGTGGTCTCATTCACACTTTCAAATAACCAGAAATGCAATTATCTCCATCACTCACCTTAATATATGGAGAATCCCAACTTTGTCTCAAACCAAATGCATCTATCACAAAATTTTATTGGGAAAGGTTTCTAGAAAAGTACTTTAAATCTGAGACATTAATGCCATCCAAGATGACGTGAGTCTTTGAAGAGACAACATACAGGGCTTTCTAAAAAATGTGTTTAAGTTTTGTTTTTTGTTTTGGTCTGTTTTCAGGGTCCCACTATGCAGTTTAGGCTGGCCTTCAGCTCACTTTGCAGCCCAGGCTGATTTTGAACTCACAAGGATTCTCCTGCCTCAGCCTCACGAGTGCTGGAATTACAGGCGTGTACCAACATGCCCGGCTTTACCATTTCTACTGAGCAAGAATTGTACTGAATTCATGGTCTCTTCTTTCATACTTTTGTCTTATAATACAATCTCAGCTGCCACATTTAGTAAACAAAGAAATCATTCATGACAGAGTGTTCAAAATAACAAGTATTGGCCTGGCATGGAGGTGTATGCCTGTAATTCCAGAAGTTGAGAGGCCAAGAAAGCAGGATCACCACAGGTTTGAGGCCAACCTGGTTTACACAGAGAGTTTTAAGGCCAGCCTGAACTGCAAAGAGACCCAGTCTTAAAAAAAAATTATTTTGCATTGTTTCCTTTCTTTCCAAAGAAGTTAAATACAGGCTGAGAATACAGATCAGAGGCACAGTGCCTGCCAGACAAGTGTAAGGTTGTGAGTTCGATTCCTGGTTGAAAAAAAAAAATCATGCTTTTGTGCTCTATATTTAACTTTTTTCATTAATGAAAGGTTATATACAATACTTCTAGGTTACAAAACAAAAAAACAAAAAAACAGGATTTTAAGGTTGAAAGGCTTCAGATACATGCAAGAATTAACTATTAGGAAAATGAATTTCACCTGTTTCTTTGATATTTGAAAAGTGGACATCCCTGTGGATAAATTCACCAAGCTGTGTCAACAGGTTACACAAGTCTGTTTTTTGATGTGCTCATTAAGAATTAAAAATTCTACATTCCCTATCACCAAGAAAAAATTTTAAAACAACTTCAGTGCTAATTTTTAACCATTACCTCTCCCCCGCATATACACACACAAGTCTTCAAATATTTCAAGCTACCATAAGAACATTTGCTACACAGTAGTTCATTTTCCCAGGCTGCCATTACAGTAGAGTTTTAACATTTTACAAAAAAGTAACTACTAGAGGCCGGGTGTGGTGGTATGGTAACAGGCGCCTATAATCCCAGCACTTGGGAGCTGAGGGAGGAAGATCACTGCTAGTTCGAGGCCAGCCTGAACTGCATAGTGAAACCCTCTCAAAGACAAAGAAAAGACAAAAGTACTGCATTGTTTAACCATGGGGCCCCTGAATCCAAATCAAGAGGAAAAATAAAGCCAAGATTAGAAAGCTATTTTAAAATTGACTCAAAAGGTGACATTTTTAATACAAAGTAATCATTTCTAACCCATCTCTGCAACTTCACAAATTCTGGCTGCTTTTTACTCCATTTGTAAAGTCAATTTACAAAAAGTATTTTGCAAATATCAACTGCAGAACCAGATGATAGCCCTCTGCACATATATCAGACAAATATATTAGAAAGTCATCCTGAAAGACAAGTAAAGGAAAACCTAATTATTCTTGCTACTAACTCCCAATACCCTCTTACAAGTGCTTTCAAAGGTGTGACTTAAAATTTTTACCACCTAGGTTGTAACACTGAGCAACAGGTCAAAACTAAGTGATTAGGGATGGATCGCTGAAGGGCAAAGAATAGCTTTTTTGGTAACAAGCAAGGACAAATTTTCAGTTATTACAGTGGGGGAGAAGAATCTTGTTACTTTCTTATAAAATTAAAATATTTAACAGAAGCAGGGTGAGAAGTACTGGAGACCAAGGGAATAGTGCAAGAATAAATACAAAAATCAACACAGGAGTGCCCTTGATTATATTTTGAAAACCAGCTACTTAAAAAAAAAAATAGCCAGAGAAATTTTACTAAAAAAAATAAACAACATGTATTTATTGAATATCTACTATGTGTCCAATACTTCAGAAAATACAAAAGCATTAAGGATTGGATAACTGCCCTCAGGGAGCTTACAATCTAATTTGAGACACAATTCAGAAACTGAAGCTGGATTGGTATAAGTAAGGATTCCTACCTCTAACAGAGCAACTATTACCCTACATGCTTTGTTGAAATGACCTCAGTGTCCCTCTCCCCACCACCTTGAACCTATGGGTACTTTCCAGTTAGGTCACATTTAGCAAGGAGGGGCATTAAAAATAAAAAACAACAGTACATTTTTAGGCCTTTCATCACTAGTTTACAAGCCGGCAACACTTCCCATTCACAACAGAAACAGTCCAATCTTTAAGGACAATGGTGTAGGATCTCAACTGATACATAACAAAAATGTTTTAATTATCTAATAATACTGGTTGTGATAGATACCCATCATCTTCCAGTAAATCACATCAGACAACCCCAAGCAGGACATAGAGGGTGGAAGATGGAAGAGGAGACACACAAAAAAGGATTTCTCCATTTAGTAATCACGGTGAGTCAAAAATCAAAAACGTTAACAAGAAAAATGCCTGTTACTGTGTGATGTTTTTCTTTCCATAACATCTTAGACCAGAAGTGGCTACGTTTCAAGAATCGTGGAAAAGGAGCAGTCTGATGTTTATGACACCAGTTTGCAAAGCCATGTAGGGGGTCTGTCCACAAGGTGAAGGGTTTGAAGAAATATGGAATTTCTGTCCCATTATGAGAAGAGTGAACAAACACCTCAGTGATTTAGTGACGTCCCTTAGGGGTAATACAACCCTTGGGGCCCTCCACGTCCAACTTCCCAAATAACAATTGCTTGAGGTACCCAAAACTACCATATAGACAACAGGAAACTAAAGACAGCAACGAAAAGGTATTCCGTGAGCTGGGTCGGCAAGAAAGATAAGAGCTGACAAAGAGGCTGGAAACCAAGCGAGGGGACGCAAGCCCACGCGTGGAGGAGGGGAGCCCCCCCCCGCGCCACATCAGGAGCCCACGGGGCCAATCGCCTCCCTACCTCCCACCCGGAACAAATTAATCCTCCGCACTCAAACTGAGGGCCACATGGGGGAGTTTGGGCAGCTCCACCCCATCGCCACCCCCTAGCCACCCCCAAACCAGGCCGGATCCGGATCCGAGGAGGCCCGCAGAGGGCTGGGCAGGGAGGAGGCCCTCTTCTCCGCGGGCACCGGCCACGGCCGAGAGCGCCCTACCTCTGGCAGGGCCCAGGCCGCGCTCGCCCGCGCTCTTTCTCGTTCTCCTCTCCCCCTTCGGGTTGCAGCCGCATGCCCCCCCCCTCCGGCTGCCCCAAGCCCCGCCCCGGCCACGCTCCCAAATCGAGGCCCGGGCTCTGGCGCGGCCCACTAGGCCGCGAACCCAACCATAAACAAAACCTCCAGCCGCCGACTGGGTGGGGGGGCAGGACTCGCACTAGAAGAGGGTGTACAGTGGCGGACACAACGCGGGGGGCAAGCGAAGGAAGGTGTACAGCGAGGGTAGGGGAGAAAGGAGGGAGGGCAAAGGGAGGATCACGGATTTAAAGGGGCCGCGGACAATACCCGGCCCCGCCGCGCTGCCGCTGCCGCCGCCGCCGCCAACGCCGCTGCGCTCCCAACTTTACCTCAGTCTCCTCCACACTGACACCCCGGGCCGCGCCGCCCCTGTCACGTGATATAAGATTCCCTCCTCCCCACCCCCTCCCTCCTTTTCCCTCTCGCGCTCGCTCTCGCGCCTTCCCCCTCCCACTTGCCTTCCTGCGTCCCCCAGCACGTGACGCAAAAAGGGACGCGCACGTAAGCGTGCGCGCGTCCGGGACGCCACGAAACACCGTGCTCTGACTTGGCGCGTGCGCCCCGCCCCCTCCAGGGCGTCCCCGCCTTCACGGCGTGACGCACATACGGCCTCCGCTTCCTGTTACAGGCGTAGTTCCGCGTTTCAGCGCTTGCTGTTCCCAGGTGCCCTTGCCCGCTTGAGTCACGTGTCGGTGGAAGCGGGAAGGCGTAGTTCTTCACTAGCGCCCCCATCCGCCATGTTTTCAGGCCGAATCTGACTCGGTCTTCCCCGTAAGGAAATGGCCGGAGAGCTCTGGCGAGCCCAGGCGCCGTTCATTCGGCGGCGCCTGGGCTGACGAGGCAGAGCAGCGGGAAACCCGAACAATTCTGCTCGGAGAGGGAGATCATGGCGTCTAGCAGTAACTGGCTGTCGGGTGTGAATGTCGTGCTGGTGATGGCCTACGGGAGCCTGGTGAGAAGATACCCCAACCCCGTTCGTGCTGTTGCGTCCGACCCAGTCGAGACTCTCCTCTGGAGCCGTTGCCAACCGTCTTTCTCCACCCACTCACCTGCGCTTTTTCTGGGCTTTTGACGCCTATCCCAGGAACACCTGGGAGCGCAGTCACAAACCTAAGCCGCCCCGCCCCGCCCCTGCCGAGAACCCTCCCTCTAAACCCTGGGGCACAGAACCTACTCGAGCTCGCTCCTAGCGTCCCGAGATCCAGCCCCATCTTTGACGGCCCCAAGTTTTACCCCGAGCCTATATCCTTCCAAGCCTGGGTCTGGGAACTTTAAAAGAAGTCGTCGTGTTCTATAAAACTTTTAAAATTAAAAGTTTTTATATCTCTTCGGACAGGTATTTGTACTGCTGTTTATTTTCGTGAAGAGGCAAATAATGCGCTTTGCAATGAAATCTAGAAGGGGACCTCATGTACCTGTGGGACACAATGCCCCCAAGGTAGGTCTTCAGTGTATGAGACAAATCTGGTTCTCCGGATCTTTTAGGTACAACTTGTGAGATTTCCTTTGCCTTGTAGGGATGACTTAACTCAGGTGTTTATGTATCTAGTTATCCTCGGGCTTTCCTTAGTAAATTAAGCATTAACTGTCAGCCCTTCAACTTACGTGCTGTGGCATGGGATGTAGCTTAACCCAGATCTTAATATTTCATCTGTTGATTAAACGACTTGGATTGAGGATACCAATTCTGTAAAATATTTCGCAAGCCATCTTAATTTATTCAGTGTTTTTTTTCCTTTGTTTTAGGATGGGGGTGGCCACAGCCCATGAGCAGCAGGGAAGGGTTGTGTTTGAAGAATTTAGACTCATTTAAGGGCTCTGTTAACTGTGTAGTTCCGCTATTCATATTATAAGCCTTAGAAAAGGAAGCAGTTTACTGGAGGACCTACAAAAAGTGAATTTTAAAAAACTAAACTAATGGTTTCTTAAACTAATAATTTCTTTTTTTTATTACACTTTTCAGATTACCTTCCTTTCCTTGGGTTTCAATGCTTGCAGCTGAAATTTTATTGCAACACTTTTTCCTGCATTGTTTACTTAAACATCTAACTGCCTGACATTTCCACTTGGGTTTCTCCTGCCACCCATTCCTACTTCTTTGTTTTTCAGTCTTGACTTCTCAGTTAAAGGCCCCTGCAGCCTTTGCCAGCTTTCTTTTGTTTGGCTCTCACCCATAAATTGCAAATCAGCACCACTGGTTGGATTTTGCACCTTTGTAGGTTACTGTGCCTAGGTGTGATCTTCATGTGGCTAGCTCATTCATTCTTTAGACTTTGCTTAAGTGGTACTTCCTCAAAAGAATGCTATTTCAAAGTAGGTCTCTTTTATCCTAGAGCTCTGATTTTTCCACAACACTTGCCATGGTTTTTCTTCTTAGGTTTAATTGACTGCTTAAAATGTGTTTTTCGGGGCCGAGGAGATGGCTTAACAAGCGCAGGGGCCTGAGTTCAATCCCCGGTTCTGCAGGAAAAAAAAAAAAAAAAAGTTTTTCTCTTCCCATAGACTGTAAGCTTCAAGAATGCAGACATGCCGGCATAGTGACACATGCCTGTAATCCTGAATTCAGAAGGCCTCAGCAGGAGTGTTGTCCTGAGCTTGAGGCCAGCTTGGACTATATAGTGAGTTCAAGGCTCACTATACTGAATACTAGGAAGTGAGATTATTTTAAGAAGAGTGCAGGCAATTGAGCTGGAAGTGTAGCTCAGTCATAGAGCATTTGCCTGGATTTTTGTTTGTTTCTAGAGACAGGGTTTCACTATGCAGCTCACACTGGCCTCAAACTTGCAGCAGTCCTCCTGCTTCAGCCTCCTGAGTGTTAGGGTTACAGGCATGTGCCACCATGTCCAACCTTGCCTAGCATTTCTAAGGCCTTACATACATTTCAATCCCCAGCACCACAAAGAAAAATGTGGTTGTTACCCATGTGTAATATGATACATGTATAAGAATGTAGTGACATTGATTATAATGTTTTCTTAAACTGTTAATCCAAAAGTCTACTTTAAAATGGAAATGTAGTGACATACCCATATTCTGGAGTATGATAAAAGTACAAGTAAACAACATGAGAAATCAAAGTCTGCAAAAAATTTTGGATGAAGAATTCGCAAAAACATATGAATCTTAGGGCTAGAGAGATAGCTCAGCAGTCTAAGTGCCTGCTTGGCAAATGCAAGGATCCAGGTTTAGTCCCTGGTATTGCATGCCATGCTGGCCCCAGAACCCTAGGTGTGCTATGCTGGCCACCAAAGCCAGGCATGGTGGCACATGCCTGTAATCTCAGCACTGGGGAGGCTGAGATGGGAGGATCCCAGTGAGTCCATGCTGCGTAGCGAGACCTTCTACCAGATGATAAATAAAAGATTTCTTAGAATTTTAAAAAATATATGAATCTTAAAAAAGAGGCCAAGTGAAAAAGTCTATAGACAGTCATTCACAAGAGCATGTATGCTATGTGAATTGTTCCACTTACATGCAATTCTAACACGAAATTATATCTTACCTGGGGATCAAAGGAAGAAGGTTGACTGGGTAAGAGTGTAAAGGGTTTTTTTTTTTTTAAGTCTTTAGTACTGGGTCTCACCACACAGATCTACTTGTAGTGATTCTTCCTGTTTTGCAGCCTCCCGAGAGCTGGGATTACAGGTGTGCACTACCACGCCTGTCTGGATTGCCACCACGCCCAGTCTCAGTTGCAGTCTCGGTGTGCTCCAGGGGCGGGGCCAGCACAGCAGGCCTGGGATCAGACCCCCAACCCCTGCATCTGCCTAAGCAGGCACTTTAATCGGCTGAGCTATCTGGCCAGCTCCCAAGAGTGTGTAAAGGTATATTTTGGTGTGAAGAAAATACTGTTTTTTTTTTTTTTGTTTGTTTGTTTTTTTTTGCTGGCTCAGAATGCCTTCAGGGCAGGTTTGGCTGGCTTGATCTGGGGATTGAACCACAGCAACCTGAGCCTGACTGCCTTGTTGAAGCAGGCACTTAAAGAACTGAGCTAAGGGGCAGGCCACCAGAAAATACTGATTTACAACTGGCATGGTGTTACACACCCAATTTGAGCCTAGCCTAAGCAATAGTGAGATCCTGTCTCAAAAAAGGAGAGGGCTTCAGATGTAGCTCAGCATAAAGGCCTTGAGTTCAATTTTCAGGACCACCACCCCAAAAAATAAATCTTCCTTAGAGATGTACATCTTGTCAGGGTTATTAAGAATCCAACTTCTCCCCCCAAAAAAATCCAGACCCTATTCTTGCTAATCTCCTGCATCTTAACCAAGTAACTTCATTGGCTACATAAGGACTTTCTCAGCTTTGTCTTAGTTGTTGATTTGTTCTGCCGTATTTCCACATTGATGGGATGCAGGGTATAAGATAAATGATGTATATTCATTTCTCTACGTGCACAGGACTTGAAAGAGGAAATTGATATTCGACTGTCCAGGGTTCAAGATATCAAGTACGAACCGCAGCTCCTTGCAGATGATGATGCTAGACTGCTACAGCTGGAAACCCAGGGAAATCAAAGTATGTGCCAAGCTCTTAGAGGAGTCCTCTACGAGGAGTCCTGCAAGTGGAGCATTTCTTCACTTTCACAACTGTTAGTAGTTGTTTACAGATCTGTTATTCCTTAGTTTCTTTATTATTATTTTATTCTATTTTAGGGAAGGGTCTACAGGGTGTTCAGGGTCTCCCTAGGACTCTGAGTGATCCGCCTGCTTACAGCCTCCCAAGAGCTGGGATTACAGGCATATGCCACCACACCCAGTCTCAGTTGTGTCTCAGCATGCCCCAGGGACAGGGCCAGCACAGCAGGCCGGGGAATCAAACCCCTGGCCCCTGCGCATGCTTGCAGGTGCTTTAATCCACTGAGCTCTTTGGCCAGCCCCTTAGTTTCTGAATATATGCTAGGTACGAGGAGGTAGCATATTAGTTTGGGGAATATTTGGAAAGTTATGTCTAATCTTTTCCTCAACAGGTTGCTACAACTATCTGTACAGGATGAAAGCTCTGGATGCCATCCGTGCCTCTGGTAAGAGCCAGCTGATGGGGTGCATCCTGGGATCCTAAATCAGCTCCGCAACAGTAATGACCTCACTTAGTATGTTAGGGTATTCATCCCTGCAAGCTGGAATTTTTGAGAGTACTGTGTTTCTCTTTTGCCTAAGGGGATGATTGAGACAGATTATTTCCAAAGAGTCAGAGGTTTTGTTTCTGTTTTTTTTTTTTTTTTTTTTTTTTTTTTTTGTACAGGGAATTGAACTTAGAACCTTACGCTTGCTTGTTGTGTCACTGTGCTATATCCCTGGCCTTGTTTCTGATTTTTAAGGCTCTTTTCTTGAGACCTTTAGTTCCATGAATTACATAACAGTAATTTACTGTCTTTGCACAAAAGAACTTAACTTTTGCTTTTTCATTAAACTCAAAATAGTTTTTGTGGGTTTTTTTCCCTTTTCTGTGACCACTTGTCAAGTATGCTTTGTCTCTACCAAAGTATAATTTCTGTCTTAAAAGATGGGATGAGTAACAAGGATAATAAGGATGGTAATGGTGTCTTGTGCCACTGGCATAACTTGCATTTGTGTGACCACTCAGGCATGTCTGTATAGCTGTAGTCTTCTAAGTTCTATAATAATTTATATCCAGCTGGTTTCGTTAGATCTATGTCTAAGCAGGAAAATTAATGAGAAAGACTAAAAACTGTGAAAAGAGGTATCACTGTGCTATTATCTCCTTAGAGATCCCATTTCAGGCTGAAGGCCGACATCCTCGTTCTTTAATGGGCAAGAATTTCCGCTCCTACTTGCTAGATCTGCGAAATACCAGCACTCCTTTTAAGGGTGTTCGCAAGGCCCTCATTGATACTCTGCTGGATGGCTATGAGACAGCCCGCTATGGGACAGGGGTAAGCTGGATGGCCAGTTTTTCCTTCAGGATTGAAGGGGTGTTCCAGGCAATGATTTTTACTCTTCCTTTCTCTTTCCTAAGGTCTTTGGCCAGAGTGAGTACCTGCGCTATCAGGAGGCCCTAAGTGAGCTGGCCACCGTGTGAGTTTGAAGGGGAACGTATGAGAGAGGCTGGTTAGAAGATTTAGAAGTACTGCACTGTCCCACAGGGAAATGACCTTCCTAAAGCAGTGTGAACAAAATTCAGAATGTTGTAAGAGCGCTATTAGCACTGTCTCCGTCCCCTGTTATCACATGTGCCAGTTATATGGTGGCACACACTTGTGATCCTAGAACTCCAGGAGGCTGAGGCAGGAGGATCATAGGTCTAACCCTTAACTGCGTAGCAAAACCCTGTCTCTAAAAAAATAAATAGAAATTAGTTACTTTCCAAGAAAAGAATGTATCTGCTTTCTGCCATGTTCAGTATGGCTTTGTCACAGGTGACAAGGGTTATGTCTTTCCTATCTTTGTCACTGCTAATAAACAAAGACAAAAGGTCTTAATGAAGTCGAGTATGGTGGCCCATGCCTGTAATCCCATTGTGAAGGTTGCTTGCAAGCAGAGTGACTAACACTACTACTGTATACTTTTTTTTTATTTTTGAGACAGGGTCTTCTGTGACTTCAGGCTGGCCTTGAACTCACTGTGTATCTCAGGCTGGCTTTCAACTCATGTTAATCCCCTTGCCTGAGCCTCTGAGTGCTGGGATTACAGGTGTGTGTCACCACACCCAGCTTTGATGTATATATTGATAAATGGCTAAAATGATAAATACTATAGCGTGAATTTTATTATACTTTTGAAAAATAACTTTCTCTGGATCAGGCCAGGAGGCTGAGGCAGGAGGATTACAAGTTTTAGGCAAGCCTGGGCTACACAGTGAGTTCAACGCCAGTCCGGACTACATAGCAAGCTTTTGTCTCAAAAAACCTAAATAAAAACGAGAAATTTAAAATACTTTAAGAATAAAAAAACTGTAAATTGTGAAAAAAAAAAAAAAAAACCTAAATAAATAGATATCTTTCTCTGGGTGCAGTGGTGCGGCCCCTGTAATTGCAGCCACTCAGTAGATTGAAGCAAGATTGCATTTTGAGACAAACCTTAGCAACTTACTGAGACTCCTCTCTGAATAAAAATAAAAAGGGTTGGTAGTTAGCTCAGTGGCAGAGGACTTGCGTAGCATGTATAAGACCCTGAAGTGAATTTCCAGTACCATTTTATTGATTGATTGATCAATCAATTCGATTAATGAAGGATCTTGCTCTGTGTTCAGGCTGCCCCTGAACTCACTGTGTAGCCCAACTGACCTCAGACTTGCAGATATCCTCCTGCCAAAGCCTTCCAAGTGCTGGGATTATAGACATGTTCTCCCATGCACAGCTGTTTCAGTGGGGATAGGAAAAGAGTATAGGCTTTAATTTTGGGGGTTTTCATGGATTTTTGTTGTTGTTGTTGTTGTTGTTGTTGTTGTTTAGAGTATAGGCTTAGAAATCCATCATAATTGGGTTTGAGTCCCCCGTCTATCACTTAATACTTTGTGACTCCATAAGTCTATCCTGCAAAACCAGGTGATGCCACAGTATAGGGGATAGTGGGAATGTTAGTAAATTACATACTAGTAAACCACCAAGTGTAGTGTCCTAAAGCTATTTTTTGGTATTTCGTTTTCAAGGGACTCTCTTTGGACTGAGAGTTACTTCAGCAATTAGTTACTACTTACACATATTAGGTGAATTGGTAGAGTTAGAAGTGTTCCTATGTGTGTGTGTGTGTGTGTGTGTGTGTGTGTGTGTGTGACCTGCTTAACCTGTCCTAGAGGCAAGGCTGGCACAGTTTGTGGTGCCAGGGATCAAACCACAGTCCCTGGGCTTGCCTAAGCTAGCCTAAGCAGGTGCTTTAATCCATTGAGCTATCTTGCCGGCCCAAAGTTTTGTGTAATATAGTATAATGAAGGAAAGCTTGTGTCAGAGACAAGAACTCAGTGGAAAATTAGTTGTCCTGCTTTTTTTGTGCTGTTGGATGGGACTTTCATAAAATCAAACAGGACCATTTGTGGCAGCATTTATGGAATAAGATAAGCCTGGAATTCTAATTTTCTAGTCCTTATTCTATCCATAACTTTCCTTGTCTATATTTAGGATCAAAGCACGAATTGGGAGCTCTCAGCGACAACATCAGTCAGCAGCCAAAGACCTAACTCAGTCTCCTGAAGTCTCCCCTACAACCATCCAAGTGACATACCTCCCCTCTAGTCAGAAGAGCAAGCGTGCCAAGCACTTCCTGGAGTTGAAGAGCTTTAAGGACAACTATAACACATTGGAAAGTACTCTGTGATGAAGCAGAAGACTCACTGCAGATTGAGCCAGACAGTCGCCGTTTGCAAGACAGGCTGCTTGCAGGGTGCATTTGGGCCATCCAGCTCGGCAGCCAAAGCCCCTGTTCTGGAAGGGTCATTCCTGGCCTTTTTCTGAAAGGCATTTCAGACCATTAGTTAAGACTGCTTTCCCACTGTAGCACTTTTTTTCTGGATTTTAATTCGTGACGTTCTTACTGGGTTTTTGTCAGATTTTCCTGAAGGTGTTTCTCTTATTTTTGGCCGGCACTTACCCACCTTTTCCAGGCTGCTTTATCTCAAAGGTGAGAATTGAGATGAGGTATCTTTTGTGTCTACAGTGTTATACTCAGTTGAATGTGGACTATTTGGGTTTAGGGTGTTTCAGAGTTACTGCTTGATGGTAAAAGCAGATAAGATACCAGATACAGTGGCTCACACCTGCAATCCCAGCAATCAGTCTGCAGCAGGAAAATTTTGAGTTCAAGGACACCTTTAGCTATATAGCAAACTCAAGACCAGTTTGAGTTGCACACAGAAAAAATACAGGGACTTCAAAACAGACAAACTGGTGGGGAGAGGTGGTAAGAAAGTAGTGGGGGGGCGGGCCAGGGAGATAGCTCAGTGGCTTAAGTGACTGCCTGGCAAGCCCAAGGTCCAGAGTTCCATCCCGGTTCCAGAATAAAAAAAAGGTAGTATGTGGAACAACTTATCATGGTACTCCACTGTAAAGCAAGATAGATACGTTGGAACATTTAACACAATTTTCCTGATGAGCAAGGGTCTGCCCTCCCACTTCAATTAAAATTTTTTGTGAATATGAATGTTCTTTTACCTAACATAGACCAGGCATGATGGAGCATGCCTATAATCCCAGCACTTGGCAGACTGAGGCAGGAGGATCACTGCAAGTTCAAGGCCAGCCTACACTCCTTAATGATAGCCTGTCTCAAAATAATACCTGGCATAATCTATGCCATGATAGTGTGAAGGCATGGTTTCCCCTAACTAGCCAATGAATTGGTTTGACCTTAGAAATTATTTAATAAAATGAACTGTCGAAAAATAAAGCATATGACTCATTGATGTACAGTTGTCTTTTAGTAAAATAGGCATATGAACACTTCCCTGGCAAGCACAAGTACCTGAGTTCAATCCCCGGATCTGCAAAAATAAATAGGCATATGGTACGGTATATTTTCTGTACTTTCTTAATAGCAGGTATAGAGCAGTGACAGTAATCCTACAGCATACTTGCCACAGTAGGCTGTTTGTATCATTGAAACCTCTCAAAAGGTTCATCATTGGTGTGGGGTGAGGTTTTACCTCCTGGGAACTGGTGGGACTGTGTTAATCTCCCAGGTACTTTGGGACCCTAACTGAAGGAGTCTTGAAACAGGCCCTTGCTCACAGATTTGCCTGTGTCACTAGTAGAAGCCCACAGAACCAAGATTCTCTGGGTCTCCAGGGCAACAGGCCAGGTGACCAATGAGCTCTTAGGCATGGGGTCATTGTTGGAGGCCTGAATGTTGCTGTGGCTACTGAAACCTTGGTGACTAAAGTAAACAGGAGAACCTGCCCAGGCTGCTCTGACTATCTAGCAAGGCTGTAGACATGTCTGTGGAAAGGATGACGAAAGTAGAAGAGGTATGCAGAGTTAGGAGGGACCGGGCTGAAAAGAATTTGTTTCCCTTGAGATTTCCAAATGAAGTTGTATTTTTTTGTTAAAACAGCACAATTTAGGAGCAGGCGTCTTATCTAGCATATGTGTCCCACCCCAACTCCTGCATGCTTGCTTGCTTTCATCCGTTCTCAAAGAGTAAACCTTCCCTTCTCCCATAGAAAATGGACTTTTCGGGCCAGGGAGATGGCTCAGTAGAATAGTGATTGGACTCAAGGGCCTGAGTCCAATCCCCAGTTCCACCAAAAAAAAGAGAAAATAATATGGACTTTTTCTTTTAAAAGAGGTCTAGAAACTCCCACTGGGAAAAACTCCCTCGCTACAGTGCTGGTAGCAAGGCTCTGAAGATCAAGGCAGGTCAACAGAATTCCTTTTCTTGCAGAGTTTACAAAGGGCCGTGAGACTTAAGAAGATGGTTAACAGGTAATTTCTGTCCTATACCCTATGCATCTCTCACCTTGAGCTTTCTACCTTCATGTTCCTAAACCACCTTCCAGCTCTGCTTTCTCTTGGGGATGCAAAAAGGGGGAAAAAGGCTGAGAGGTGACACCCACCAGGACACTGGGAGTTAGGTAGAAGGATCATGAGTTTGAGCCTATCCTGGACAACTTAGAGCTCATCAAAAAATAAAAGGGAGGTGGTGGCTAGGGATGTAACTTAGTGCAAAGGTCTTTGGTTCAATCCCCAGTACCACCAAAAAGAAAATGGGGAAGCAGCCTTGTTCCCAAAGCAGATAAGAGCAGTCTCATTGTGCCTAATAGATAAAAGACATTTATTGTATCTGCTTCTTATTCTTAGGAGGAGAAAGGTGGTTTGGTTTTGTTTTGTATTTTTGAGAGAGGGTTACTGTGTAGTCCAGGCTGGCCTATAACTTGTGGCAGTCTTCCTGCCTCAGCCTCCTAAGTACCACAGTTACAGACATCTACTGCTATGCTTGGTAGGGTTTTTTTTGGGGGGGGGGATTGGGGAGGTTGTGGTTTTGTTTTTTTCTTTTTTGCTTTTAAGAGAATTTGAGTGTCTTGCCTGGCTTAGTACTAATATAGTGGTGCCTTGATTCCTGAACACTTGTTTGTGAAGTTTGGTTTACAAACATGCATTTGGCAAAATTTTGTTTTAGATTTCCCAGCTCCACGTTGGGTAACAAGCACAGCAGTGGCCATCTTTCCCATGTGAACGTCAACATGAACGTGAGGGGCCAGGGAGATAGCTCAGTGGCTCATGGGGAAGGTCCCAAGTTTGATCCCTGCTACTGCAAAAAAATAAAACTTGAATATGAATTTGGCCAGCCTTTTCAGAACTGTAGAATGAATTAAGTTCATCAGGGACCACATTTGTGGACTAAGTAAAAGCCTCATGGGGGCAGGCATTCTGCAGATACTCCATCAGCCCGTGCTTTTGTTTTTTCTTTTTTGTGGTGTGGTTGGAACTACCACAGAGCAACATTCCAAGCCCTTTTTTTTATTGCAGTCTCCCCGATTTCTTAAGATTACAAGCATGTGCAACCACTCCCAATTTAGCCTTTTGCCTTAAAAAAAAAAAAAAAAA